TTTTGAGGGGCAAGCGGATTTTGAGGTGCAAGCGGAATTTGAGGGGCAAGTGGATTTTGAGGGGCAAGTGGATTTTGAGGGGTAAGCGGAACAGGGGATTCATTGGGATCCTCTTTCAGGTCACTGTCTGCTTCTTCCTTGGCATCCTTTTTCGATTTCTTATTCCATCCCCACTTGCGTTCCTTCTTTGGCTTCTTCTCACTATCATCCTTCTTGCGATCCTTTTTTGATTTCTTCTCATTTTCCGATTTTTTGTCGTTACTATCTTCCGAGGCCTCAATAACCGGGGGGGCAGGAACATTTGTTGGAGGAGGGACCATTTCCATCTGTGGCGTAAATATAATAGGAATTAGGGTTTGTTCAGCTAGCGATCTCGAATTATGGGAGCCCTTTGTGGGGAACAAGCCATGCTGTGGAGGGGCATCGGAAAGAAAAAAAGGGGTTATCACATATGTGTAGGAGCAATGGGGTTATACTTAGGGAAGGAGGCAGCGTTCCTGGCAGGAGTACAACACGCATTGCACATTTTGCTACACAGGTGTTGTAATTTAAGTCTGCAAAATGTCACGAAGGGTAAAAAAAAAAAAAAAAAAAGGCCTATTTCAGCGCATGCACTTCTTCGTTATGGCCTTACCAATGATAGGACATACAAAATGGCGAGAAGGGGTACGATGAGCACCTTGGGCTTAGGCAGGGCCCATTTCAGGGAATTGTTGCTTCTGTTAGGGGAGTCATTTTTCTCGTTGTTGTCAGGTGTGATAGGGGTGACAATACAGTTTGCAGTGCGGTCTGTTGTGCGGTTTGGTGTACGTATTACTGTGCTGTTTTCTGTGCGTTTTTCGGTTCGCTGTCCGGCTTTGTCTGCGCCTTTATCTGCTCCCCTGGGTGCAGTTCCCCTCGTGACGTATCTTATGAAACTCCTTTCCCACCGAACTACGGACTTCCGCGTTGAAGGCACAGCTGATTGGTAGGGCAGTAGCATGCTTTAAAAATTTCTATTTTCGAAACGGACATAAAAATGGGAACAAAAAGGCACTTCCGTCTATTGTAATGTTTGTCCAATACGGTGCCTATAAGGAACCAATGTGCCTGCGCGCATGCGCGCTCTTCCAATTTGTGTTATGGAAATGGCGAAGTCCCCATATACATGTATATCCATGCAGCTCTACCCATCTAGGGATTTGCAAGGAAAAAAAAAAAGAAAAAAAAACGGGGTTTTAAAATTATAGAAGTGTGAGGTAGCGAGGAAGGAAAAGTTAATTAAATTAGGTTCAAGAAGGAAAACATTCATCAGACCGAAATTCGACGTGTCGAATGGGTGCAGATGTTATATTAGTTCAGGGCGCAGAGTGGCAGGACCGTAGAGTAGAATAAACCCAATTGTTGCATACAAATGTATCGAGCGGATATCAGTGTGTATTCCTGTGATGCAGGTAGCGCCAGCTACGAAGCCCCCAGAAGCAGCAGCGAAGACGCGGCTCACAGACTATTTCATTTATTAAATGTACGTATTCACGTGCACACTTAACGTCAGGAGGGGGCTGATGGCGGCGCGCTTAACCATGCTCGCTTCAGTGCGTATTACTTTTCTTTGGGGTTACTTTCTCCAGAGTTAATTTCAGATCAAATGAATTAGAGAAGGAACCATAATAACGGGTTGTCATTAGGTAGAAGTTTTTTACTAATGGGTTTCAACGAATTTTAGCAGTGTTGTTTTCTGGTTATGTATGTATAGCGCGGCAGAGTAAAACGGCAGAGCATATAAATATATCAAATGTCCCCCGAATTAAAAATCAGGTGGGGGGCATATAATCACATTCTATTATATGGAAATGGAAAGTAATGACGAATAAAATACAAAAAAGATTCTTTTTTTTTTTTTTTTCCCATATAAGAAAACGACGGGGAAAAAAAAACAAATATTCTCATTCGCGTAATGTTTTCTTCTAACCTAGCAGTGGTAAAGGGCAGTAGGAAGCTACAGTAAAGCGTAAAGGTAAACGTAAAGGCGAACGCAATAACAACGATACCTCTACTAGAGCAGTGACGCGCTCATGCCAACGGAGACGCCATGATAAAAAAGAAAAGAAAAATTTTCTCCATCCCTAATTTTCCCATTCCTCTCCTTTAAGGGAATTTCATTTTCCCGTATAAAAGGTACAGGTATTTAATCTGTAGGTTTTTTCTCTAAGAAGGAAATATATTTATAGATGGACCCTATTTTTTTAGCAGTGACTTATTACATACACGGGTCGAGGAATATGTTTAATTGGAAAGATATTATTTTCCAAGGTCACGTAGCGCACGTTCGTATTTTTTGCATACCGCCACTATATTATATATAATGAATTTCATAGTAGGTTATAATATGTTTTATGTAGGTATCGCATGGAAGCACGCCATGATATGCTATTTCAAATTTTATTAAAAAGTCTAAAACATGGCTGTTTCATCCGCGTAACTTATAAAAATACATGAGGCCAATTTCTTACCTTCGTGCTAATCAACAGGGGAGGGGTTATAAACTGTACTTACTATACTATTTACGCTGACTGATCCTTTTTGTCCTAAATTACGGTTGCGTAAGGACGTATGCAAATAGAATGGTACAATTGCGAACGTGCTGCGCGAGTGGCGCGCGTGATATATTTTTCGCTGGTCCTATGTTGTCCCGCAATTTTTCATAAAAAATTATGCGTAAAAAAAAAAAAAAAAAAAACAGCTCCCGTAAACACATACATTGTAGGTATGTTAGTTAAACGCTTTCCGCTGATTTAATTTTTCTCCTTTAAAAAATGACGCATAAAAATATCAGGAGGAATAGGAACGTAGCATCTTCACAAAGGCTATCAGATTTATAGCTCTTCACCACGAACATAGTATATATTTTTACTACCTTGGAGAAGGGGGAAAGAAAAAAAACATTGCAATATGCTACAGTACAGTACGGTAAACTACAGACGCCCCACTTGGGAGGAAATAATTTCATGTTCCTTTTGTTTTAATGAACCTGCGGGGTGACGGGACCGCGGTTATGTTGTTCGTCCGGTGATGCATGTGGGTGTCCACTTGGAAGGGCTGCTTGGAAGCGCTCCTTCGTTGTGCATAACGCCGTTTGGTCGCTTCCATTTTTAGCACTTACGACGTAAACTCATTTCAGGACACATACATGGTAAGTTCTTTCTGTGTGCCTCCCCTCGCGAAGGGGCTTCACGGGTTGACGCACGAAATGAAAACGGAACAAATGGGCTCACCCGTATACATAAACACGTAAGTAGGTGCGCATATATAGGATTTTTCACTGTGTACATAACGGGGGGGAGGGGGGGAATGCGTTACCATCACCCCTTGGTAAAACTCGCGCAGAGCTGCAGCTTTAAAGTACGCCTGGGCGTCAGACGTAATTCATGATTGCGGACATATGCTTAATTCGAGGGAAGCGTTTTGCTGTGCGCAACTTGGCTATATTGGCTCAATTGCGGTGAATCAAAATTGGGTACGTAAAAAAAAAGGGCGGGGAAGGGCGCGGAAAATTCGGTGCAATGAGGACAAAAGGGAACAGAAAAATGAAAGGGAAAAAATAGGGTGAAAAATAAAGACATCAAAGTGCTGTGCGCCATGGAAGGTTACACGCTGTGAAGCATGACGTGTATAGATATAAAAAAAAAAAAATAAGAGGGGTTATTAAAAATGTCATTTCGCCTTCGGGACAAGTGTGGCATGACGTGCAGCACTTATACATAGACAGATGTACATAAAAATATGCTGGGGGATACGGAGCATCACATTCCGCACTTAGCGTTACATACGGACATGGACGTATATAGCCTGATGTGCTTCATTGGATAATCGGCACTTTCTTCTTCGCGCGATTGGCATGTTTATACTAACTGCTAATCGGAGTAGCTAATGTGGTAACAGTTCATCGTTTGCATAACACGTTGTTTCTTTTTCCTTTTTTTTTTCATTCATTTTTTTCGTAGTTAATCAGACCGCTATACGCAACCAGGTAGAACCCCAGGTATAATAATAAACTCTTGGCCACTGGGTGGGTGCTCAGAACACCAACTATTTTGCTGACGTTGTATAAAGAGACAAGTACAAATATAGAGAGTAGAACGAATAAGGTGGTAACGCCATTGGGGACACGAACATTTTTCATTACTTGATCCATGAATTGTTTGTAGTCCTGAAGGTGTTCCTCCATGTCTGGGAGGACCTTCTCGGCGGTGCTGTGTATCTGGTCGGACAATTCTCCGATGAGGTTTAAGTTTGGCTCCATTGTGGTGGTGGTCATGTTTAGGCGGTGACGCCGCTAAGGGGGTCCCTCTAATGGGGTGCTTCTAACGAGTTATCCCTCTGGTGGGGGTGCCTCTAACAGGTTATCCCTCTGATGGACGTATGAACGATATACTGCGATGCCGCTGCTACGGATAGGATTGCTTCTGCTGGGGGATGGCTCATGCTATTATAAGTGCGATGCTAAGGCTCGGGTTTTAAGCTTGCATTTCTAAGCTTCCATTTCTAAGCTTCCATTTCTAAGTTTCCGCTTCTAAGATCTCACTACCTTCTCTAGCCGCGTACCCAGGCATACGTGTTTATAAGCGTAGGTATAGAAATATGTATAATATGTACCTATTTTGCAGGGATATGGATATATCGAAATAGCTGCGCGGGAAGTTGAAAGGATTTGGGTGATGGTATGAAACGTGAGAAATGGGCTAGGTAACAAAAGTAGGAAAAAAAAAAAAAAAAGAATTCTCTTTAGAATTTCTTGGCGTATGAGCCTTTTGAAAAATTATATATCTGATGAGCGGAAAATGTAAATGCATCCATGTACGTATATAATATACGCATAACGTGTGGTAATACTTGTATACCTACGCACGTACGATGCAGACGTAGGCTGTTCTTGATGATATGCTGCGATCCCTTTGGAGAGGGCACAGGATAATACTCCAATTAGCCGGCGATACTGAGGAGTTCCTCAATTCCTCTAACGAGTATTTTTCAATAAGTCATATGGACTGTTAAGAAAATGGACAAACAGATTAGAAATAAACCTATAATGACATCCTACGGACGGAGAGCTGCAAATTGTGGCGTTAAAAAAATATTTTAAGTTATCCCTAGATTAGCTCTACTTAATTAAAATGATTCAATATAAACATAAAAGAGAGAGAGGCATGACGGAAGTTTGTAATGATTAATAAGCAATTCAAACGCGATCGTAAAGAAGCGCAAATTTCGTCAGTAGCTATTTTGGCATATAATCCTATGCGTACAGTTTGGAAAAAAAGAAAAGAAGAGAAAAGAAAGGAAAAGGGAGAAAAAAAAAAGAAAAAAAAAAGAAAAAAGAAAAAAATAAGGGGAAAGAAAATGGAGAGAGAAAAAAAAAAAAAAAAAGTAAAATAGAACAAAATTAGGCAAAATAAACAAAATTAAGCAAGATAAATAAAATTAAGCAAGATAAACAGAATTAAGCAAAATAAACAGAATTAAGCAAGATAAACAAAATTAAGCAAAATAAACAGAATTAAGCAAGATAAACAAAATTAAGCAAAATAAACAGAATTAAGCAAAATAAACAGAATTAAGCAAAATAAACAGAATTAAGCAAAATGAACAGAATTAAGCAAAATAAAACAAAACCGCCAGGGTTCCTAACATGAATAACCTGCCAAGGAGAATAAATAGAATAAAGCAAAGGCACAAAAACAAGTAATGTAAAAAATGGGGGTCACTGTGTTTTGCTTTTATGTGTTCATGTTTTTTCATCATATGAAGGAAAGCTCATCATCGCCAATGTCATCACCATCATCGTCTGCGTCTTCCGCTTCTTCTCCTTCTTCTCTTCCCCCTTCACTAAAAATCGGGATAGCGTCTAAAACACAACCGCACGTCGTCCAAATATAGAAGCCTCTGTACGTACATATCTACATCAACTATTGAAGTGAGCCCGTTCTCGTCAAAAAAGGGGGGAGATGTGACTGACGAGTCGGTGAATAATCCATCTGCGCGATGCGGACATTTGGACGTCTCTAAAGCCAAAGCCACTTTTGGGTGAGCATAAGGAAGTTCTTTCAGTATGGGTGCTTGTTTTGATTGCTCGTTGGCTGGATACCTGGTTGGCTCATTAGGACTTCCTAACGACTGGCACACCGCTAGGGATGTTTGTTGTTAGCTTGGTATAACACTACTTAGGTAAAGAGTAAAGTAAACGAAAAAAAAAAAAAAAAAAAAAACCCTCATTTGGGGAAGTGCCCCTAGACAATGTACATAGCCATACATGGATAGGCATATGTTATCTGCGTGGGCATCACGTTACTGTGAGTTGTAGAATTGACAGAGACTACCAATCGGGTGAGAGGATTTGAAAAAATCGTCACTACGGCGGTGTTTTTCTGGGGCCCCCTTCTGACGACAAGCCCATTTTTCCTTCCCCATTTTGTTGCCTTAATGGGTAAATTTGCATAATATATAAATATATTTTCTTCGTGAAATTGTTAGCATAGACACGTGGAGGAGAGGGTGTGGTCAAGGAAAAGGGGGCCTCTGCTTCCTCCTTGTGGTTTATCAGCATCAACATGGGAATCAATGTGTCGGAATTGTTAATATTACTTTCTGACGAGCGGATAGATATATGTGCGGGGTTTTATGCACATATATACATAAATGGGTGAAGGGAGATATATATACTTTTTTATTGACTCTTTTGCTTTTTTTTCGAGAAAAGTGAAGCTGAGAGGGATAGAAGCACGTGGCCTTTTTCTATTTCACACTTCCGTGATGACAACCCCTGATCGGTTAGCCATTTCTTTGTCCCATTCTTCCTTGACTATATCTAAGAACCACTTGAAATCATCGTTAACCGAGTAAAGTAAATTATTAGCTATATTTTCTCTTGTCTGAAGGGAAAGACTGTCATCATTTAGGAATTTATTTAAATCTGCATGTATGCTTTCTAAATATTTGTCCCACGCTTGGGTCCACATTTCATTTCTCCAGGGGATCTCCATGTGGTGATTATCCGTATAGGTGACATATTCCTTTATCATATTTTCCACTGCTTCATTCCAAAGGATATTGACTCTGTTAATTAAATTATGAAATTCTATTTCGTCTAGGTCATTCTGTTCATCTGTGTATAGTTCCTCGTGTTCTGCGTTAATCATTGGGTAATTTAAAATGAGGGTTACATGATTTTCCATTTCTTCGTCTTGTTCTCCAAATAGTTGTCCGTTCTCTTCTAATGCACTCATGTGCTCTGCTTCCAGAATGCGGTCTGCTCTTTTCCCGGTTTGTTTGCATCCATGAGAGGGGCGGCTGACGTGGCATCTGCAAGGAGGGGGGGCACCGATTGGAGTAGAGGTTGGAGTAGCGGTTGGTGAATCTATCGGAATAGCAGGTGCCCTGGAGGCTCCGACTAACGAATCGCTTAGTCGGAGGTGACTACAGTTGATTCGTTCTCTCCTGCGAGGTGCGAGCGGGCAGCCGCTTTACGTACACACGGCGGGAGGGTAAAACAAGGAAAAGGGAAAAGCTGTGGCACTTACTGAAAGTCATAGGAGCAGAGGGACTGCCACAATACCAGGACCAGCGCAACTATGTTAAGAACCAACATAACGATGTTCATTTTTGCACGTCTGCAGTTTGGCTTGGAGGAAGTTACATGTGCACCTGCGGTGTAGGTGGACTGTTTTATTTTATCTGTTATATTTCTAGCAGCAGAGGTGTTAGATACTGATTTGTTGGAAGGCATCCTGAAGTTTGTCGCGTTTTGGTTTTTCTCTACCAAATTAGGCGTGAACTTTAGGGATGCGGGGGATTTTATCCCTGTGGCGCTTTTGCAAAGGGGTAGCCTTTTTCTTTTTTTTTTTTTCTCTTTCTCTTTTTAAAGGGTGGAAAGAAAAATATAATCTTATATGCAGAGAAGGGTATTCATAAAAAGAATAGCTACTATAGTTGAACAGATAGTGGTGGATTCTGTTCGCTAAAATGGTAAAACTAGGCTGTCATTTATGTTAGTTTTACTTTTATTTGTCGCTTCAAAGTTGTGAAGAGGCTGGCCGGTGGTAAAAAGAAATACAAATACGAATATGAATATAAATACGAATATAAATACAAATACGAAAATAAATATAAATACGAATATAAATATAGATACAAACTTTGAGGAAGTGAAAATAAAATCGGCTTTATAATTTTTCTAAAGAAAAAAAAATATATTCATCGGCGCGACAGAAACAAATTAGGTTAGAAGTAAACTGGTGGTTTATTGTTCTGTTTCTGTTTTGTTCTGTTATGTTATATTTTATTTTTTATCAGGCATTAGAAGGCGTAGGTTATTATTAAACGTGTGAAAAAAAAAATAAATAAATAACACCAGAAAAAACTACTCTAAAATTAGAAGGAAGTTTTTTTTGTTAGAATAAAGCGATATCCTTCAAATGGTTGCCCCCTTCTACATCGCATGAGGTGCATATATAATATATGTACGTATATAAATGTATGCATATAGATTAGAGGCCGGGGGACAAAGTACTGTTTTGCCTTTTTTCTTTGCGCCTTGTATGCATATTTACCTGCATATTGCATTGGCTCTGAAAATATTTTTTTCAATTTTGCTCTTTGGCTATTTTGCTCTTTCGAGGGACGCCGCATAGCATTTTATGCCTGAAGTCGGGCCGCTTCGAAACCGAGGGTTTCTTTTTTTTTTTTTTTTTTTTGCTACTACTTAAAAGCGCAGGAAAAAAAAAATATCGTAGCCTTAGGCGCGTTTATATATGAAACGAAATGGGTGGTGGTAGAGGGTAATAATTGATAGAATAAAACCATGCGATCTGAAAGTGGTGTTGCCTTACTGCAGTTTGTTCAGTTGGTACATAAATACGAGGTGGTACTACGTGTAAGATTGATATATAAATATTACGTACGTCGTGTTGCATATATTTTGGGGCCTTACTGATGAGGTGAGAAAATGGCATAGGAACACCAGAGCCCCGTCCCGGTGGGTACTTTTTGGAAGGAAGAAAACTTCCACACCTCAAGGTTGTGGGGGAGAAGAAGATGGCCAGGCAAAGGGGCAGGCAAACGGCAGGCAAACGGGCCAGCCAACCAGTCCCTTTTATAATATTTACTATGCACTCATAAGTATGGCCTATGTTTTTCCCACCCCTGAGCGATGAGAAGAGTTCGCTAATTTCACCACTCCATGTCGTTCACCTGTCGATGTCGTTAGTTCAGCGCCCGGACATAGTCTTTCTTGACAGCGTGCAATTCGAAGAGGTACATAGGTAAGGACATGCTGACCTTAAACGTAGTGAATGCCGAAAGTACTGCTGAACGAAAAAAAAGAAGGGTAAACGTGGAAAAAGAAAGAATTATAAAATATAGTAAGAAATGGTAGAATTGTTAATGGGGTAAAGATTCATCGAGGAGGAGTTGGAAGAAACGCTTACTTAGCATGTTCCCTTAAAAAATAAATGTTCTCACTTTTTGGCAGTTTCAATTGTCATTTTTCTTTTTACTATATGCATATTGTTTATTTTTTCGTTTGGAAAAAAAAAAAAAAATACTTCCTCTTCGTCCGTTCGTTAGTTCCTTCCTGTTGCAATAAAGTGAGCGAATAAACCATGTTAGAAATGTCCGAAGCTTGACACCTGGGCCATTTGTTGATAACCCCTCACTCCATCCGCACTGTGCATTTCATACTTATGTGTAATGTATGGCTCTTGTGTCGGTTAGTTTTTACCCGTTGGAGTTATCCTCTTCCCCTATGGGGCTGAACTTGGATTGATTTGCGTCTGGCTCTGCTTCGCAGGGGAATAGCGTGACGGGGTGAAAAATAAGCAAACCAAAGCGAAGAAAAAGAAAAACAGTTATATACATAATATAACATTATCACGTAGTAAAATGACAAAATAATGGTAATGCCCCGCTAGGAAGGATGGCTTAGGGAAGCTGCGTTTTTTTTTTCTTTTTTGCATTTCTTATCATGCGAAGGTGCCTAAGATTTATATGCCCACGAGCATGCGTAGAGTGCACCCACGTGATTTGCGAGTAGGACAGGACACTCTATATGCTTGGCATAAAGAAGTGGTTGCACAAAGGCATACGCGAAAAGAGTGAAAAAAAGGAGAAAAGAAAAAACTGATGCGATGAGAAATAGTGAAAGCAGTAATATATCCCCCTCGCGCATCACACCTTGTGACCATTTTTTCGAAATGATTTTTGTATTTTCTAGCCATTCCAGCGTGGCATATATATTGCACCAATTTGTGCCCCGCATGTTTGCGACAGTGCAATCCCCGCGGAGTAGTTTCCGCCGGGGGTTATAGAAATATTTGTTTAAAACTTCGTCCCCTAGAAGAGTGCGAGCCTTTCCTAGCCCAGAGAGGCATGCATTTGTTCGCTCTCGTTTGGCAGTGGCAGCGTTGCAGTCGTTAACCTTTTTTTTCTGAATTCGACAATAAGCAGCCATCAAAAGCTGCGCGTTTTTTTGGAAGTCCATCAGGGGAAATAAATGGCATGCAGTTTGTTCTTTCACGAGTGTGACAAATGGGGATGGACGTGAGGGGTTGCTTCATTATAAAAACAAACGTTGGCGCCCAGTTGGTAAGACACTTCCGCGTCTATATATTTGGGTCAGCAGAGGAAGGACCCAAGGAGGAATGAGGAATGAACCTAAATGTCGACCATCCCATGTGCATTCGTTCATTTTTATTTTCATCATGAGAAAACAAAATTGATTAAAGAAGGAAATCCGTTCGCACTAGAAAAGGTTTAAGTGGTTACTCCAAACGGATGTAACGTTTACTGTGTACCGAGTGAAATAGAAAATAGATAAGATTAGCACTCCCCCACTTTTTTTTTTTTGTGCCATTTGAATTAGGTAGTTAAAAAAGTCTATTTCCCTTTTTCGTATGTTCGGTTGTCGCTACTTTGGGGGGGGGGG